TTTCTAAGGCCTGCCCCACAATTACCACCCACCCCCATGCACGGGGGTCAGAACAGCAGTATAGGTCGGGACAAGATCTCGCCAACGGGGGCGATACTGCCCGAAACCCCACTGGCGCTCCCTTAATCCCGCAATGCGGGCCCACGATCCACCCCTGCAGCAAATCAAAAAGGGGATAGTCCCGCAGGACCCTCAACCCCTTTTTCTTCTCGCCGCTCCATCGCTCCCATGCTGTCGTCGGTTGGCCTCGTTCCCCGTACCTCCGCCGCATTAGTCCGTTGTCATAACCAATAGGGCTAAGCCCAAGCCTGGTACCAGCAGGCGCGGTCTCCCATAGAAAGTGGTGTCGCGCTGCGTTTCCGGGCCAGGATTGTACCCACGGCCCCTAGGTGCCCCGTCGGCCTACCACCCCACGCCGTGGCCGTCCCAGATGCCTACCGGCACGCCAATCCTACCGTCGGTCGCGCGCGCCGACCAAAAGCGGACCTTCATCCCCTAATCAATCTCATAGCTTGAGTATGAGTCGGCCGGCTACCCCGGCCGCCCACTCAATCAGAAAAATCACACGCGCACCTTAAAATTGCGCACCCACTTACCCCCTACCAGGACAAGGCAGACCCTTGCCTACATGCGGGCGACCCTCACACTTCCCCGCACGGGCATTCAAGATCCAAGTTAACCAAGCCTTTCCGTCACTTGCAAAAACCAGGGCGGATACCCTTGTAAGGGTATTCGCGCCGATAGCGTGGCCGAGGATTTTTGGCCTTAGGGGTTGAGTCTCCCGAACGGAACGAGAGGCTCAGGTTTCGTGCCAGAGGTTACCCCGGAGTCGAACTGTCGTCGCGAAGTCCCGTGGGGGTCGGATCACTCCGAAACGATAAAATCTTAAGGGTTTCCGCGAAAACGAACTGCCGTTATGCATCAGGACGGGAAAAGGCATCAAGGGGAGAGGGCCATGGCGGCGGAAGACAAAACTTCGGCCGTCAGGGGTTTGGGGGATAGGTGGTGGGTTCGAAGCCTTCAGGCCTCGTCATCGGCCTCACAAAGTGACCGAACCCTTGGGTCTTTGTTGTAGAGGTGGTTGGTTCGAGGCCCTCAAGCCTCAGCGTCGGACTCACACAGTCCGCGCGGAAGGTTCCAGGAGGGTAAGGTGGCGGGAGGACTTGCCGACATCCGAATTCGAAATTGCGCGGGCAGCGCCCCCGCACTACGGGAAAGCTCGGGCAAACGTGTCGCTCCCTCGTAACCCAGGACCAGTCGTCGCTAAGAACACGAGTCCCCCTGGCGACACCAGCGACAATCAAACTGCGGCCGCCACGCGGCGTGAGCGGCCGACCAGGGCAACACAGTCAAACCCGTATAAGGCAATATTAGAGTCAGGGAATCAAAACGATCGATCAAGACAAACCCGTTCCCCCTTATATCACAAGCCCGAGGCGGGTCTCGCCAACACACTGCTCCGTTCGCCTCAGCGCGCGCCGTACGTCCGCATCGCAGTAGACGCTGTCGTCATCTATGATGGGGAAGGTTGGTAGCGAGATGAGACGATTGCAAGTAGACGATGAGCACGGGCAAGATCCTGCGCTCCCGGTCATCCGAACCAACATCGACTCCATACAACACTCGATGCAACCTTCTCTCTCGGGGTTAGCGCGTTGGAGGAAGATGGCGAAATCGAAGCTCTCTTCCCCTTGCGGGAGCGTAGACCGCGCGCACGGACGCAGGCGGTTGACATCACCGGTACGAGAACGAGGAGCTCAAAAAGGAAGGCGGGAGAGAGAGGGAGAGAGCTTACACCGAGAACGTGCGTGCGCGCGCGAAGGGCCGCGGAAGGGAGGGGAACAACGGGATTAACACACTCGTACTCCTAGGCAGACGGTCCCCCAGTTCAGTTTCCCCGTCCCCACCCGGACAAGTACATACACGCATACATGCAAACAATCAACAACCCTTGACAGGACATCTAATCATCCATAGACCTTCGACATCACTCATGCGCACAACCAGCTCCAATCACTCGGGGCTTCACACACACGACATGCATAGACAAAGCAGCAATGAAGATAAAAGTGAGTCCTTCTTGTACACAAAAAATTCAATTAACTGCCGCCCCGAGGCGCAGCCTTCGAACCTCCCAAGACCACCGACCACCATAGCCACAAGGCCCTGCCGCGGCCGACGTCAAATCCCCACCACTGCTCAGTCCCTCTGGCAGTGTCGCCCCGAGACTATCGCGGGTCCACCCCACGTCGTCACTCCGCCTGTGCTTGAGCTCGTCGAGCCTGTTCGGCGCCGCGGACTTTCGCGCATAGCTCGCGCAGCATTGCAGCCGAGATCAAAGAGAGAGAGAGGAGAGGGTTGCGCGAATTTATAGCGCGGGAGGCGGTGGGTTGTCAGCGCGAGGTGCGGGCAGGCGCAGGTTGTAGATGAGCAGGACCGGAGGGAGGTGGGGAGTTAGACGGTTCGACCCGCGGGATGGTATGGTCCTGCGTGATTGGGGTGTCCGTTCAAGTGGTGCGCGGTTTCCCGCTTTCCACATTGATCCGAGCATCCCAACTACGTGGCCAATCACTTCGCGGAGTAAGGATCGCGCTGGGCGGAGGGGAAGACGAAGAGTCCTGCATGGGGAAAATGCGCGCAGCAAGAAGGGATGATGGCGCGGGGATGCAAAACAAGAACGAGACGCGCGAAGAAGTCGGAGCTTAGGCGCGCGCGCAAAAATTCAAAAAAAAGGTTCCAACCGAAACCGTTTCTTCCTTTTCATGCCGCGGCCGCTATTCGCCCACACGGGAGTTACTAACCAAACAAAATGAAAAAGCCGTTTCAAATAGAAAACAAAAGCAAAAAAGAAGGAAAAACCCCTTTCTGTCCGTGTCCGTACTTCGGGGCTTCCACGGGATTTTTCCTCAGGGATACGGCAAGCCGCGCGGTACGGATCTGAGCTTATCACATATGTGATACGTAGGGGGTTCCGAAAAATTAGCAGTCTCCCGACTGCTGAGGTCATCATATCTTGGATGATCGGGCGGCCTCTTCATCGTCAGCTGGCCCGATCATCTTCCTAATCTACGTGGATGCATACTGCATCCTCCATCGCCTCCTCCCATAGTATACATTCGATCGGGCGGCCCCTTCATCGTCAGCTGGCCCGATCGGTAAGTAGTTCTCAATTTTTTATTTTTTTTTGTATACACAGCGAGTCTTGACGCGCGAACTTTGGAGATAAGAGAAGAAGACGATAGAGCGAATGAGAAGGAGAGAACAGGGGAGAGGTAGACGGGGGTGATCAGAGGAAGTGATCTATGTCGGGATTGAGAGGGGGCGGAATAGGCGGAAGAAAAGCGGCCATCGCCGCGGGAGTCGTCGGCGCATCTTCCTCCTGGAAGTGGTGCTGCACGAACGAGGGATAAAGGAAAGCCCCCGGCACATGAGTCTCGGTGTAAGACCGCCGCTCCTGCTTCTCCGCCGCGAAGACAAGGAAGTGGTACATCGCATTGGGACGCTACCCGGTCTCGTAGATGAGCGTCCCAGCCAATCGCGCCACAATACACCCTTGAAAAGGGGGTGTCAGATATGGCTCCCATGCCGGATCAGGGCGCGGCGCCCCCGCAATGGCCTCGAGCCTGATGGTGGCGGGCTCCACCATGAAGTCCACCTCTGTCGAATGGACCGTCCGGCTCGGAGGAACTACTAATGTCAATGACCGGGGCACCCCGGGGTGGCTGGCGGGAACGGAGAGGTCCCGCGAGGACGGGGGGTCTGGATATGGGATCCGGAAATCCCATTCGGCTTCCTCCTCCGGCTGCTGATGCTGATGATGGCCCGGCTCCATCAAGATTGAGATCGGGCACAAGCGGAAAGGGCGGCGATGGCACGACCGTCTCCTTGTCGAGCGCCGCTGCACTCCCAGGCACGGGGTCAGGATTCCGCGTACGCGCGGGCTGAATCACCTCCTCGCCGCTGCCGATCCTGCTGCCTTGCGCTCCTGGCGACGGGTGGCGTCTCTTCCTTTTCGGTGTTTTCTTGGGGGCCTTCGGTGGCGCCGGTCGAGGATATGACGAGGGAGGCCGCAACGGCTTTTCCTCCGGAAAGTCCTCCAACCTCTCCGCGCGCTGCGCAATGTAATCCGGGATGACGACCGCGTTGTACGTTCTCTGCGGGGCCGTCGCCGTCCGCAATCGTGGTTGGATCTCCTCCTCCTCGCTCGCGATCACTTGCGCAATAGAGAGGAGCTCAAGATGTATGAGCTCCAACAATCCCGGATTGATTGTTTGGAGCTGGGCGAATGGGTACACCGCCACCGTTCCTTCCTTCTCCGCTGGCTTGGGCCGTGTGATGACGTAGTAGACGACGAAGTGCTCCCCGATGCAGTGGTCTTTGTGATCCACGAAGAACTAGAACATCCCCAGCGCCACCGACTTGTACAGCGCACGGTGCGACTCCCACGTGTCTTCGTCGGCGAAGGGCAGCGGCTCCACGTCAGTTAGCTCCACCAAATACTCTGAGAACTCGCGCATGGGATAAGGGCCCTCTGTGAGCTGATATGGGAGGGTGGTGTAAGAGAAGAAGGGAGACATTTAGTATGGGACAGGGGGAATGGCTTGGAAGTTGAGAGGAGCAGCGGGAGGAAGAAGTGCGGGGAGTTGTGGCGCCGACGCAATTGGCCCGTCCTCTGCCCTGCGCAGCAGCACTTCGTGGGCTGTGAATCGGTGTTCCCCCCGTCCTTGCAATCTGGCCACTGATCTGGCCGCTTCCACCGCGTATTTGCGCACAAAGCTTCGCGCCGACTCCCGATTCAGCTGCGGTAGGATCGTCAAGTCTCCGATAAAGGTGGCCATGCTGTGCACGAAGTTGGGTGTCACCTGGAGCGCGCGGAACTCAATGAAGACTCGAGTCGTCTCCCGACAAGGCAACTACGTCACGTCCACGTACACCCCCGCATACGTCAGCCGATCGCAAAGCAACGAGTACGCCGCCAAATCAGCAATCCCGGGCGCTGGCACGTTCACCTGCTGAATGTCGTACCGCAACTGCCTTTCCTCATTGAACCGGTGCCGCAACAAGCGATCTGCAAGCGGCGTCTGGAAATGCTCGAGGGGCTCATGCTCCGGCTGGCGATGGTTCATCCTGCTCCCTGAAACTCTCAGCACCAATGGACGAGGCAGATCGGGAAGAGGAGGAGGATGAAGAAGGAGAGGGTGATCTCGCCGGAGCGAGGGTCCGTAGGGGACCTAACGATGGGTGGAAGGGCCGGAGCGCGGCAGCGTGCCGTGTCAGCGGTCGGGCCTGGGAGTTGTGACGGGGAATCAGCTTCACGGAGTGTTGTCCTTGTGCGCCAACTTCCGTGACCACGTAAATGCCTGTGTAGCGCGGGTGGATCTTGGAGCAGCGCGCAGATTTCCATACCTGCACCAAGTCCCCAACTTTATAGCCGGGCAGTGGTCCCGCCGACGCGTGTTGATTCTTGTAGTCACGGATCTACCGTTGATGTGTCCGATCTACGGCCTGCTGTCGACGGTGAGCTAACGGGGGATAGGCCCTAGCCATTAAGTCCATGTAGTGGCGGGCCTTATCTCGGTTCTGGGCCCGTGTTGCTCTAACTTCCGTACCTACCAAAGGGGACAATTGCACCCGAGGGACACTATTGGTTCTTAGTTGAAAGGGGGACACCCCAGTACTACCGTGTGGGGTAGCCCGATGAACGGCCAAGATGTGGTCGACAATGACCGGCCAGGGCCGGGTGTCTCCCGCAGTGATATTCCGTCTAAGGGCGGTCTTAATCAGTCGGTTGGCATTCTCTACCAGGCCATTGGCTTGAGGCCAATGCCCCGGCGAGTAGATAATCTTAACGTCCGCTCTGACTAGGTGACGTTCTACTTCGCCTTGAAATTCCGACCCATTGTCCATGTGCACCTCTTCTACGTCTAGATGCATGCACAAAAATCGATTTACGTACCAGGCTACTTCCAGCGAATTCCGGCTGGTCGTAGGGTACGCCTCTATCCATTTCGAAAAATGATCGATGGCCACTAAAAGAACATTGAGGTCTCCCTGATTGACGGGACCTCTCGGAACGTTGATATCCGTCGTGTCGATGCTAACCCTCTGAAAGGGGCGCTCTACACGAGTGGGCACCATCGTCTGAGGCATCTGTACCGACGCCTTGTCTGCCGCGTAGGCCGGGCAATTCTGGACGGTGTATTTCACATCTTCCCGAATTTCCGACCAGTACCATCCGTTCTTTTTTATGGCTTTTTCCGTGTACTTGACCGCGAAATGGACCGCATCCTCTTCATGAGCGGCTCGTGTCCAATCGAACCTAGCGAAAGGGTGAGGAGCCGTCAATCAGCTAGACCCTCCGTCATCATCGACTTTTCGTTTTTGTAATGTCAGCCCCTGCCAGCGATAGTCCTGCGCCCGCTCCGTGACTCTCCGCCGCTCGGCTTTGGTAAGTTCTGACAACGAGTCGCCTGACAGCCTCCGTAGCAACAGAAGGTCCGTCCAGACTTCCGCCCGGCGGACACTTGGCACAAATCCATCGGTTGTTCGTGCATCCAGATACCATTTCTCGGTAGGGACTTGGTCCGTTCTACAGTTGGGACAGACCCACGACGCCCCACGTCTTTTCACTTCGGTACCTAATGCATTGTTTGTGGGACTTGACCGCTTGACACCGACTACACTGCACCCACAAAAGAAAACTGGGCCCTCCCAGATGTGACCCTTCTGGGTCCGGGACCATAGGCAATGTACAAAAAAAACAGGGACTTAGATGTATTTCAGGGGACGAGTAGGGATTAGACGAGAGAGCGAGGGAGTTGGATGAGGGCAAAGAGATAGGGTCTGCCATCTCCGGCGAAACCTCCATTCCAGACTCAGGCGTCGTTCTTGCGCAGCACGTGTAGCTCCCCGTAGTGTGGTTTCATCGCCGCGACTTCTGGCCTCCACGGAATGAGTCACTCGTTGGCGGGACACTTGTTGGGCGGCAGGCGGCGTGTCAATCCATCGGCGTTACCATGCTGCCGCGTGGCACGGTGGCGGATATCGAAGTCATAGTCTTGCAGACACACCGCCCACCTGCCCAGCATCCCCATGTAGTCCGTGTTGTTGCGTAGGGACAGCAGCGACTGATGATCCGTTACCAGCACGAATTTCTGGCCGTAAAGATACGGTCGGAAATGCTGGATCCCCCACACCACCGCCAGGCATTCGCCTTTGCACGCTTCGTAATTAGCTTGCGCCTGGCTCAACGTCTTATACGCATATTCAATGACGTGTTCCCTTCCGTCCGCCCCGTGCTGAGTCAACACCGCCAATATCACCTGAGGCTGCTAGTCGGTGTACAGTGCGAACGGTCTTGTCAGGTCAGGACGCACCAACACAAGAGCAGATGTCAGAGCCTCCTTCAATGCCTGAAACGCCACTTCGCATTCCGGTGTCCAGATCAGTTGTTCCTCTTTCTTCAGCAGGTTCGTGAGGGGCTTCGCTATACCGGCGAACCCCTTGATGAAGCGTCGGTAATAGGATGCCAGCCCTAGAAAAGCCCGAACCTGGGTGAGTGTGACCGGCGTCGGGGCTTCTTGAACTGTTGTTACCTTCCTTGGATCCAGTTTTAGTCCATCGACCGTGACGATGTACCCCAAGAATGAGATCTCCGACAAGAAGAACTCGCTTTTCTCCAAGGCCACTTTGAACCCCGCATCCTTTAGTGCATGCAAAACCCACTCATGTGTTCCACGTGGTACTCGTGTGTTTTTGAAAAGACCAAAATATCATCCATGTACACAATCACGCAGAAATTGATCAGGGGCTGGGTTAGTCGGGTTTTGTTAACGAACTCAGCGAAGGCCATATTCATGGCCCGCTGAAACGTTGCAGGGGCGTTACAAATTCCCATGGGACACCGGACCCATTGCCACGTGCCCTCGAATAGGACGAAAACGGTTTTGGGTCGGTCCTCCGGTCGGACTGCGACATGGTGAAAACCGTGTCAGATATCGAACTTGGAAAAGACTCGCGCGGCCCCGATAGTATCTAACAAATCGTCGATTCGTGGCAAGGGATACACATCTTTGGTAGTGATAGTGTTCAATTTCCGGTAGTCGATACATACCCGGACCGAACCATTTCGTTTTGGCACAAGGACCACGGGAAAAGACCACGGTCCCAGTGATGGTTCGACCCACCCCAACCGCTCGAATTCCCGTACCCTTTCCAACGCCAGCTGTCTTTCTTTAAGGGAATATCGGTACGGTCGGCAATGTATCGGGGCGTGATCCCCGGTATCAATCGCGTGCTGTATCARAGGGGTTAGCCCTATGTCGTGGTCCTGAATACTGACGGCCTCAGGATAGGCCCGTATAACCGCCAGGAGGAGGCGTCTGTATTCATCCGGAACACGGGCTGGTAACTGAACTTCTACGGTTCCCGGAGGAAGGGAGACCGTCATCGTAACCGTGGGGACCGCCGTGCTGGCATCGGGCGAGGCCCCAAATAAAGAGTTGTCGGTTTTCGCCGAAAGGACCGTCGCAATAAGTTGACTGTCCGCCAGACTCACCGGCTCGCTTCCCATGTCACTGTCACTGTCCAGTTCGGGTTCGACCGAGGGTTCTACCGAAAAGGCCTGCGTCAGTTCCCTCGGTCCCCACCGATATTCCCTTGTTCGGGGTTGAAACGACACTCCCTCTTTCAGGAGTATCGCGACTTTTTCATTCGTGAGTAGGGGCCGTGGAGGTCGAAAAGATAAATCGCACAGCCCCCTAAGCTCGGTAAATCTTTCAGGTAGAGGGTCCGTTCGGAGATACAAGGACGCAGGGGGTTCCGAAAGGTCAGTTATTCGGGACACCCTCAGCAGGGGTTCCCCCTGCACCCCGGAGGAGAACGCAAGCGACCAATTGGACTCGCTCCGAACTATTTGCAGTGGTTCTCGCCGCCAAGAATGGCGCAACTGATCCTGAACTCGGATCGGATATCGGTCGGGTACATCAGTCTCGTCAGTTTCCGTCAACGGTTCATTTTCGTCCGGTGACAAGCGTCGGATCATGTTGATTTGATGGGCTTTCGTGGTGAGTCGAGGCGCCGGCGGGGTGCACATGCGCACAACCAGTCTCATTGGTATCATTTGGGGTTTGGGGTGGGCCGATGTGAGCACTACCTTACAGCTGTCAAAGTGCATTCGCGCTCCGACCGCCGCCTCCCACGGAATGCCTAGCAGAACATCGTACGCCTGTACATCCAGCACGATTACGTCGCACAAACAATGCACCCGCCCCACCTGTATAGGCACGTTCGTTATTCGCCCTTTACAATGAATATTGTCTTCCGTAGCGGATATATACAGTTCATCCGGTCGGAGGGGCTGAACCTGTCCTTCCCTTCCCAACTGTTTCGTCAATCTCCAAGAAATGGCGACCGCTGATGATCCCGAGTCTAGGATGGCGGCCGAGGGATTTCCCCAGACCTCGCAGTCACACTCAATGCTTTTCCAGGTTATAGGATAGGCTCAGAGGAATACCTCGGGTTTTTTCGAGGCAGGGTCTACGGTCTGGATCATTCCTATCCGGTCGGCTTCGTGCACCTTTGAGGTCGAGGGCTGCGACTCCTCGTTTGTGGGTAGGTCCTGTAGGACCGGCTTTTTGCCCTTTCGACTTTCCTCGAATCGGCACCTGTTTTTGAGGCATCGTTCGATTAACTTTTCGTTAGCCGCTTCGGAAATGGTTAGCAGATAGGGAATAGGGACGGGGATCCGAAGATCCAGAGCCTTCAAGGCATCCAATACGTCGATATGGCCATCCTTGTATTCAAGACCAGGTGTCGCAAGGTCTTCGAACCTTGGTCGCCACGGCCCGAGGTCGCTTTCCTAGGTAATCCGTTGGACGTGAGGTATCACTCCGATGGTCCCGGGTTCGAACATCGCCGCAGCCATGTATTCATCGGGCCCTATCTCAATGGCCGCAGGGGTCACCATTTTCGTTGCCCCAGTATCCATCACCGTGGCCACCCTCCCCTGTCCTGCAGCGGTTGGAGCAGCCAGCGGGATTTAGGAAGGCTCGGCGGGCCCGCCTTGAGTTCGAGGTTTCGGACAATCTTTCGCAAGGTGACCTGGCTGATTGCAGTTATAACAGCGTAGGGGCGGGACAGCCCCGGCCACGGCCGGTCTTATCATAGGGGCGCCGGCGGCCATAGCCGCTTGTTGCCGTTGTGCGGCGGCTAGGCGTTGCCGCTGCAGGCCCTGAACAAACTCCATCAGCGGGGCCACTACCGTAACTAATTGGGCCGCGACCTCTTTCATGGATACTTCTTCCTCACCCCGGCCTCCTTGTGCTTGACTAGAGCGATGGGAGGTCGAAGCAGAGGAAGAAGCTTTCCGATCCAAGCCTTTTTTTGTCGGACCTAACCCGAAGCGATCTTCGAACATTCGTGCCGTAGCGGAGCAACTATTGCGTCGAATCCCCGAGGGGTCATCCTCGTCGGATTCTGAGTCCAGGCCCACATCGTAATTTTCTTTCCCGTACTTAATTGCGTACTGAATTAGCTCCGTCAGGGTATGTTCTATAGGGTTGCATTTCTTGCGGATCTTTTTCCGTAGACGAGAATCTGACAATCCTCTAACGAAATCAGTCCGTACCATTTTCTCGTCCACCCCGGAGCGTTCGGCTAGGTACGTAAAACGTTCAGCATATCTAGCCAAGGTCTCTCGAGGCTGTTGTGTGTATTCCTTTATTAGACGGAGGCATTGACCTGGTGCGATGTGATCAAATCTGTCGAGAAACTTCCTCTGGAAGGCTAGCCAATTAGTGAAGGGGTTATGTCCATACCACTCAAAAGCGGTTCCGGCTAACCTTCCGGGGACTCGTTCTTGGAGCAATTGGTCCGACCAGCCCTGGGCTTTCAAGGCAGCTAGCCTGGTGCGAGGGTCGGTATCATCTTCGGAGAAAATGGGAACTTCGGAAGGAGGAGGTACAAAGTACAGGGGATGATTGGCCATCCCCGCGTGGTTATCACCATCGTTTTCACCCCCAATTCCGGGTTCCACCATCGCGGGAGGCGGGTTTCGAGCCCGGCCTCTCACTCGGTTCTGATTGCTATTCGCAGGCCGACGGCGACGGGGAGCCAGCCTACTTAAAAATGAGAAAAATCTAAAAAGAAAGATCAGAAAAAAAAGGAAAACTCTAAAGCAGGGTATTCGTCCTAGGAAAACCTCGGAGCCGAAACGAATCAGCTCTGATACCAACCTCACGCCCCCTCGCAACTTCCCGTACTGGGTCACCGATCAGAGTTCTAGGAGGGGCGTGGCCGAGGATTTTTGGCCGTAGGGGTTGAGTCTCCCGGACGGAACGGGAGGCTCTCGTTTCGTGCCAGAGGTTACCCCGGAGTCGAACTGTCGTCACGAAGTCCCATGGGGGTCGGATCACCCCGAAACGATAAAATCATAAGGGTTTCCGCGAAAACGAACTGTCGTGCATTAGGACGGGAAAAGGCATCAAGGGGAGAGGGCCATGGCGGCGGAAGACAAAACTTCGGTCGTCAGGTGTTTGGGGGATAGGTGGTGGGTTCAAAGCCTACAGGCCTCGTCATCGGCCTCACGAAGTGACCGAACCCTCGGGTCTTTGCTGTAGAGGTGGTTGGTTCGAGGCCCTCAAGCCTCAGCGTCGGACTCACACAGTCTGCGCGGAAGGTTCCCGGAGGGTAAAGCGGCGGGAGGACTCGCCGACATCCGAATTCGAAATTGCGCGGGCAGCGCCCCCGCACTATGGGAAAGCTCGGGGAAACGTGTCGCTCCCTCGTAACCCAGGACCACTCGTCACTAAGAACACGAGTCCCCCTAGCGACACCAGTGACAATCAAACTGCGGCTGCCACGCGGCGTGAGCGGCCGTCCAGGGCAACACAGTCAAACCCGTACAAGGCAATATTAGAGTCGGGGAATCAAAACGATCGATCAAGACAAACCCGTTCCCCCTTATATCACAAGCCCGAGGCGGGTCTCGCCAACACACTTGCTCCGTTCGCCTCAGCGCGCGTCGTACATCCGCATCGCAGTAGATGCTGTCGTCATCTGTGATGGGGAAGGTCGGTAGCGAGATGAGACGATCGGAAGTAGGCGATGAACACGGCCAAGATCCCGCGCTCCCGGTCATCCGAACCAACATCGACTTCATACAACACTCGATGCAACCTTCTCTCTCGGGGTTAGCGCGTCGGAGGAAGATGGTGAAATCGAAGCTCTCTTCCCCTTACGGGGGCGTAGACCGCGCGCGCGGACGCAGGCGGTTGACGTCACAGGTACGAGAACGAGAAGCTCAAAAAGGAAGGCGGGAGAGAGAGGGAGAGAGCTTACATTGAGAACGCGTGTGCGCGCGCGAAGGGCCGCGGAAGGGAGGGGAACAACGGGATTAACACACTCGTACTCCTAGGCAGACGGTCCCCCAGTTCAGTTTCCCCGTCCCCACCCGGACAATACATGCAAACAATCAATAACCCTTGACAGGACATCTAATCATCCATAGACCTTCAACATCACTGATGCGCACAACCAGCTCCAATCACTCGGGGCTTCACACACACGACATGCATAGACAAAGCAGCAATGGAGATAAAAGCAAGTCCTTCTTGTACACAAAAAAATCAATTAACTGCCGCCCCCAGGCGCAGCCTTCGAACCTCCCAAGACCACCGACCACCATAG